TATACAACTTTTAGAAGGAAACGTTTTTCCACTATCGAAAACTTTTTTTATCGTTCCATCCAAATGGGCAGGTTTCAAATTATCTGTTCGATATATTTTTTTAGTACATCCATTTAGTACATCTCTGAAGAAAAATGTGATTCATGAATCAACATTCTTTTTTTGAAAAACGCTCGGCTTAAACCCTTTGTATTATTCAAAAAAAGGAGATAATAAGAGATGAAAGAAAATTTTCTGAGAAAAATAATATGAAAACCATGATAACGAAAATGATCATTTAACTAAATTTATTGCTAAGATATTTAAGTTTTGTTTTATTTATCGCATATTTACTGTTCCGAGGAAAAATAGAAAATTTAGTATCGAGAAAATAACTAGTTATGTGATGCAGTAAATAGTTATTTTAACTGAGTTCCCTCCAACGGAAGTAATTTTATTTTCATTTATTTCAGAATCTCATCGGATGAACTAATCTTAGACAAAAACTAAATTAGAAATAATATATTCATACTTAAAAAAACTCAGCGGCGCGACAGCCCATAGAAGGCCGAGGCCTATTGTGCCCATCTCAGTTGACCTTGGGCTTAAAAAAACTCAGCGGCGCGACAGCCCATAGAAGGCCGAGGCCTACTGTGCCCATCTCAGTTGACCTTGGGCTTAAAAAAACTCAGCGGCGCGACAGCTCATAGAAGGCCAAGGCCTATTGTGCCCATCTCAGTTTACCTTGGGCTTAAAAAAACTCAGCGGCGCGACAGCCCATAGAAGGCCGAGGCCTACTGTGCCCATCTCAGTTGACCTTGGGCTCTGGGGTGCAGGAGCAGATGTTCCGGTCTGGTGTTCAGCCGAACGCGGAACCCCCAGTGTTTAGTTCCCAAGCATGCTTGGTACTCATTTATCGACCCACTGAAGGGATGAAAGGCTGAGCCAACCTTGCCCGGCCCGAGGATCGAACAAGGGACCTGTGGTACGACAGCATGGTTGTTAGCATGGAGAATCGCACTAATTTTTAAAACATCTAACATTACAAAAGTATTGAAAAAGTTTTTTTTTTGTATCATAAGTACAAATATTTAATAAAAACATACTCTATTTGATTCATTCTTTTTTACATTTTTATAAAATATCACAGTAACAGTTTGTGGGTGAAAAGAAAATAACGGTTCTACTTGAAAAGAGTATACAAAAAAAAAATGAATATGTTGTAAAACACTGTCTTATCATAAAACTAAAGGTTAACACTTTTGATGCATTAATTCAACATTTACTTTAATGCTTGGATCCATCATTCTTAGTTTAAGCTCGGTCGCAAATTTTCTTGGTTTTGTATACTTGACGATCGATATGCACTCAAAAATGCTTCCTTTTTGCATTTAAAAATGTGCAACAACTGCAAAACTGAGTAAAATAAAACTCCCAATATGCTCTGTATTCAACAAGTTTTTACTGATTCTCTCCGATCGTTCAAAAGTCATTAAGATTTTGTTCCCCAAAAAGTTCAATAACTGTCACCCTGTACATAAAAGCATAAGACTTTGCATAAAAATATAAATGAAAAACAAAGTATTATTAATTTATAAAATTGTTAATAATATATTTATTTATATAATTGTATTGAGTTTAGTCGCTAATCAAACATAATTTAAAATTGGAAAAAAAAATATGATTACTACATTAGTTCCTGAAAATTGTACTAATAAAAATTTAATTAACATTAAAAAAATTAGCTATGAAATTTCAGTTTAGTTATGATATAACTTTACTTCCATTTATACTAAATTTTATTCAAACTTTTTAATGCAATTAAGAGTTAGAAAATAATAACAAAATGAATTTAAAATACAGAATCAAAATAGGTCATCACTTTTTTTTATTTTATATACTTTATAAACAGATAATGAACACCGTATTTTAATTTAAAAGACGCAGATTCTTTCATAAAAAAACAGGTACAATTGTATTGAATAAATTAAGTAATACTGAAAACTTTGAGGTTTTCCAAGAGTTAGGTAGCAGGTAATAAAGTGTCGGTCAATTCGAACGTTGGCATGATCTATTCTTCGAAATCCTCATTTGCTTGCAACGGGTAGTGTATTCTTGGCTTATCCTGTAAAGAGGATTAATAAAAACATTCTTTAATCATTGTATTTAAGGGAAAGGCTGTTTCCACCACCAAAATAGTGCAAGTGCAAACGAGGTGAGTACTAACAGGCAGTGCAATAGCAGACGTGTATGCACATATCTTGTATATAAAACAAAATAAAAGAATAAAAAGAAAGTCGCATCAAGGCCTTCGTTTAAGTTTGTGCCACTTTAGCCACTGTGGTTTGTTTGAAGTATATGAATGAAGAAAAACACTCAGATGATAATCATTGCGTCCCATCACTTGTATCTATCTATAATTCTCTTATCATATCATTATCATATCATATCATTCTCTTATCATAAAACTTAGTTACATTCATCATTTTAAACACTGATAAGCACGTCATTTTCAATAACTTTAATCTGTTAATAATTCTTAGTATCAAAAATCGGGATTATCACTACTGATATTTAAGATAATTACGTTACAGTATTAAGTTTATTACATTACTTAAGATAATTACGTTTTTAAAGCTATGAGTGATTCCCGAAGTCAGAAGAAACTATGTACTACAAGGTTTTTTTGTTAGTTACAAACTTTCAATATGTGGTCCTTTTGTTAGGTGATAAGCATTTAATCTGTAATTAAATTCATCCCGCTCGTTTTGTAGTTTCCCATTTTTAATGGTTTCTAATGAAACAGTGTTTACATCATCGGTGCATGGGCGTGCAAGTGAAAATTGATTCATCCTTAATCAGAAGGCCACCAAATTTTTCGGACCTTACGTCATACGATTTTTTTAATGGGATTGCGGGAAGTATGCTAAAGACACTGTTTACAAACCAACAATGCCAAAAACACTGCAAAATTTTACGAAAGAGCATTAGAAAATGTATGAAACAAACGTACAAACGTGATAACAGATTAGATGTTTGAGTGTAACAAAAAGAGCACATGTGAAGCATTTGCAACTCCGAAACGGCTTTTCTTTTCTTTAATTTCATGTACTTATTGTATTATGTGTAATAGTTATGAGAATATAAATATGCTAACCCTGTGCAATACTTGTTTTATCTCCATGTGTTTCTGACTTTACATCCCTAGTGAAAAATCTTGTGAAGTCACATCATGAACCTTTCTTCTATTATTATTTTGCTTCAAACAAATCCGAACTTACTGTTTCATCAAAAAGTTTTCTTTTTATTTATAAGCAACAAAAGATTTTCTCTGAGTAAACATTATACCAGCTCAATTAGGTAGTGAATTCCTTTACGAGATAATTTAAATTATATTTGCTATCTATTTCCGTTAAATAGGTTCTCAAGTAAGACTGAATTAAATCTAAATATTACTGCTTAGGAATTTTAAATAAATATTAACATTAAAATTCCCGTTCCAGAAGGCTTATACTCAGTAAAACAATTTGGTGTGTAGTTGCCACCATTTTTGACGTGGAGGTAAACTAAAATTTTTTACAGAGCATGTAGTCACATTTTTTTATTTACCTTTCTATTGCTATAGTTTTATGTATTTATTTTTCTTTTGCTTTCTTGCTAACAACACATACTATTTTCATGCGAATATCAGAACCATTTCATTGAAAAAGCATTTCGGTTTAATAAAAAAAGCACAATTTTAGTAATGTTTTTGCACTAACTCCTTAAAACAATTGTTATTTTATAAATTTTATATAATTTTTTGCACGATAACTACAGTCATGTACTTAATTTACTTGAACACCAAAACGGGTGGCAACGTTTGCTTTTATTTCCAATTGGTGGTGATTACAAACGAATACAACAAAGAATGGAGGATAAGCATCGAAACACAATAAGTAGAGAAAGAACAAAGTCACCGTCCCCAGAGGCTCTCTCGCGCACAATATATTCAAGTCTGTGGAGCGATGATGAAGGTCTTTTCGATTCATCGGAGTCACATAGACGACAGTCAGGTGTGGTCATAATACGTGAACGATACAAGAGTTCTTCCAGACAGTCATGGCCTGTGAGGAAGCAAAAAAAGGGTAACCGCATGTCGGTGAGGTTTATACGGTATCTCTGCCTCATTCCAATTTTCGTTCTTTACACTTTCTCGTAGCCAAGAAAGAGTCCTCATTTTTGTTGGACATTTTACATAGAGTTTTATAGAGTTTCAGTACATCCTAGAGCAATTTAGTTGAAATAGTTGAGATTTCCAAACAATGAAATCACCCTGCTTGCAACCGTAAATACCACATTGGCTAGGTATCCAATGGACGATTACACTTTTGTTCTTCTGTTCTAGAAGTCTGATGAACTCTGATACTGAAGAATTTTATCCGAAAAAGGGTTTCCTGATGAGCTAACTACTTGGATTGCTGCCTGCGAATCTAAGAGTAAAACAACTTTTTCAAGCTTGCAGTGTAAGCATGAACCTCTCCATCAAACGTAGATGCACGGAGGGAGAACAAATTTGAAAAGAACTTCAGAACCTGCTGTCATATGTGATTCAGAATCTGTATAAACGTTGACATATCTACTTGAGTCATCTGTATATACGAGTAGCCAATGGTGTTCTAAATACTCTGCATGACTGGTCTTTAATGCAAGGGAATTAGAAATTTCTGGAGATGTTTGACTCCTTGCAATGTTCTTTTTTTTTACAGATTTAGTTTTGTTTTGATTCAACTTGACTTTTGTGATAACTGTACACCAAAATGTTTTACAGTGTAGGATACAAAATTTAGAGAGAAAATAGAGATATGCCATGAAATTGAACCCTGTATTTCTAATACTTACACAGTCTATTTGATATTCAGTTTTACTATTGAACTTAATTGATTTCATAATGAATAAAAAGAAATTTTATAAGTAGGTTGAGACTTTAAAAGCTATGGTGCCAAAAATAAAATATTATGAAGAATATTATAATTGCTTACCAGATGCTTGCCTACAATTATAGGTAGGACAACACTCTCCTTGTATGTAAGCAATTTCACAGTTCTCGTAATCATCATTCGGTGGTCTTGGGCAACTTGTATGAACGCACGTGAAATCAGGAGGAGTAGCACACGTACATGTAACACAGTTAGTTGGATGATTAATTTCTAGTGTTTGTCCAACTCCGTAGTGAGTCCCTCTAAAGACGCAAAAGTTTTCAGATTCTGAAAGAAATTTTTGTGAACGTAAGTGATTTTTCAATAACTTAACACCATAGTTAAATATACTAAACATTACTAAAATATTAATACAATTTATCATCGAAAGTTTAATGTATAGTGCTCCAAAAAATGGACTACCTGAATAACTTTTGATCTAATTATAGGATTTTCAAGTTCTAGAACTCAATCTTGAAGGTTCTAGGATGTGACCTCAAATATGCTAATTAATTAGTGTTAGCAATATTTTAAGTTACGAAATCAGACACAAAAACGTACTTTCTCTGAATAAACATAGTTTTTTTTTCCATCGGATTCGGAATTCTGATCTCAAAAAATAGGGAGTAGCCGCAATCTGGGAAATCTGGTACCAATAGTTCGGTCAAAAAAAGCGATCCAAAGCTGCAACCCCTAAATGTTAATTTTATTTTTGCATATTTCACCATATCTGGAGAAACTTTTAAGTGAATTAAAAAAATTTTACACAACTAAAATTAATTTATCCAAAGATAGTTCCATGCAAAAAATATTTTTTTGTAAATATTTATTATTTTTCTTATTTTATTTAATTTTAGTCGAAAAATTTTTAAATTATAACATGTCAATTTTTTAAAGTATGTATTTCAAAATACAAAGAGGGAGCATAATCGGTTGAAGAGCTCCTGCGAAATCGAATTTTAAATACACGAATTTTTTAAAATTCAATTTCTCAGGAGCTATTCAACCGATTTCGCTTTTTGATATGTAAAATTATGAACTTTAAGATAAAGTAAAACATTGTATGCCTTACAATTCAAAAACATTTCGACTATTATTAACTAAAATATTTTTAAACAAAATTATAAATATTTAGTAAAAATTTTTTTTACATAGAATCTTTGGATGAACGAATTTTATACAATCTTAAACAATCCTGCAAATCTAGCGAAATACGTAAGAAGTAAAATTAACATTAAGGGGTCCAAACTTTTGATCTATCTCTGACCAAACTAGGGGGGAATCCCATTTATTAGATTGCGGCAACTCTTCTATTATTCGGGGGTCAAATTCCGAAGAAAAAAAGTATGTTAATTCAGAAAAAGTGCGTTTTTTGTCTGATTCCATTACTTAAAATATCGTCTGCACTGATTAATAAGTATATTTGAGCTCACTCTCTCCAACCATTTAGATTGAGTTATAGAATCTAAAAATCTGATTATTAGATCAAAAGTTATTCAGGCGGGTTCGTTTTGGCACACTGTACATTGTCTGAGGTTTGAGATGATGGTAAGAATGAATTAAGCAATAATTTATTTGTTCATAAACATACAGGTTATTCCGTAATAACCTTCCTCAATATTTGTTTTTAGAATCCTTGTCAAAACTGAACTGAAAAAAGTACACACATTGGGGGTTGGATAATAATATTTAAAAGATTACAAAAATAAAAACGCTTTCCATGTCTATTGAATCACTAATGAGGAAGGCGGAGTGAAAAATATCAAACCACTTTGTTCACCTGATGGAACTTAAAGAGCTTTTTTTTTTAATATGCTGATTTTAAATCCACTTTGTTTTCATTGAAACAGATTTTTAAGCGTCATCCCTTTCCCAGTGGCGATTTTTAAAATTCGATAGCGTTTTTGAATTTTTTTTATTCCCTTAACTATTAACTTTTGATATTCTAGGTGAATACTTCTTGTATTTCACTTTGTGACAGAAAAATTACATTAATAAGTAATTTTATTGGAAAATTACATTAATACGTAGTATTATTCACGTAGTAGGTTAATACGTAGTAGGTTTTCTCTTAATAAAGAGAATCCTGAATACATACTTAAGATTTAATTAAACTCACTCTCATCTTCTTTATTCACCAAAGGTACAGTCACATTTTTGAAACCCTCTTCTGGAGTTCCTAAAGTATTAAATAAATATCATTAGACAAAGATATTATTAAAAAGAAATCTGATTAATAAACTTACACACATAAATTTTGAATATTTATAAAAATAACTGAAAAGCATTTGATTTTAGGGGCTCGCTGTTGCTCAACCCCATCGATTGCTTCGAAATCATTTTTGTATCTTTAAACAGATTGTTATATAAAAATAAAAATTATTCTATTAAAAGGCCCCAAAAGGTCTTATTGTATTGAGTGGAATTGCTCTCTCAGAATCGGTACTACAGGTTTCTACAATGTTATAATAAAATTTGGACCTAATAATTATGCTCGATAACTTAAGCATTTTAATCCACAAAATTGTTTTTTGAAGTTCTTATTTACTTTTCAGTTACTCTAACAACAAGTTAAAAAATATTTCACTATAGAGATTATTTATAACGATAGTGTGAAACGTTCATTCTTGATATTGCTTTAAAGATTTAAATAGTTATAATGTTTTAGTAGTTATTAGATAACATTTACTTTCAATACAACTTATTAAAAAGGAGCTATTTATCATTTAATACGTGTAAAACGGTTGTGATGTTCGACTGGCGTTATTTCTCAAAATTCCGGATCTTGTTGAGTCTAAGTTTGTACCTCTTTCGATAACCACGTGATGATTAATTAGAGATAGGAGAGTTGTAGCGTTGTACGCTAATAGCGCAGTTAAAATATACATTTTTTTTAGTAAATTAAATAGTTATATTTATAAGCTAGATAATGAAGTTTAAAGCTTCCATTTATGAGTTTAAAGAGTCAACGTTATACGCAGATTAAGCTGTGGTTAGTAGCCAGTGGTGTTCTTTCTCTNCCGCAGACTTGGGCTTTCACTATAGAGATTATTTATAACGATAGTGTGAAACGTTAATTCTTGATATTGTTTCAGAGATTTAACTAGTTATAATGTTTTAGTAGTTATTTTACATTCACTATTTTAATTACATACTTTGACCTAGCAGAGTTTCAGATAACATTTACTTTCAATACAACTTATTAAAAGGAGCTATTTATCATTTAATACATGCAAAACGGTTGTGATGTTCGACTGGCGTTATTTCTCAAAATTCCGGATCTTGTTGAGCCCACGTCTGTACCTCTTTCGATAATCACGTGATGATTAATTAGGGAGAGGAGAGTTGTAGCGTTGAACGTTAAGAGTCCAGTGAAAATATACATTTTTATTTTTTAGTATACGAGGCCTGTCTAAAAAGTATCCGACCTTAGGCCAGAAAAAATATTTCAAATATCTGACGGAGTTGAGACCCTAATGCCCTTCAAAGTAGGTCCCTTGTGCTTCCACACACTTAGCCCACCGATCCTTCCACTGCTGGAAACACCTCTGGAAGTCTTCTTTTGGAATGGTGTTCAGCTCCGTCGTCGCGTTCTGCATTATCTCTTCTTTACTCTTCAATTTTGGAAACAACCAGAAGTCGTAAGGAGCCAGGTCTGAAGAGTAGGGAGGTTGGCGAATGGTTGTAATTCCATGTTGGCTAAGAAAGTGTGGATCAATTGGGATGAATGTGCAGGGGCGTTGCATGATGCAAGTGCCAGTTGTTCGCCATCCACAAGTCTGGTCTTTTGCGCCAAACTGCCTCACGGAGTCGCCGGAGAACATCTTGATAGTACTCCTTTGTCACTGTTTCCTTAATGTGCGTATTCGCGATGCACAATTCCACGGACATCAAAGAAAACAGTCAGCATCACCTTGATTTTGCTTCGCACCTGCTGCGCTTTCTTCGGCTTTGGAGAATCGGGATGCTTCCATTGCGACGACTGTCTTTTTTTTTCTAGATCGTACCCGTACACCCATGACTCATCTCCAGTTTTCATGGTATTCAGAAACCCAGGATCAGTGTTGGCGGTGTCCAGAAGGTCCTGTGCAACGTCAAAACGGTGGTCTTTTTGTTCCGGGGACAACAACTTGGGTACGAATTTCGCAGCCACTTGGTTCGTGTTCAAATCTTCACGCAAAATTGCTTCTGCAGAATATCTACTCACTCCAACCTCTTCTGCAATCTCCCGCACTGTCAAACGACGATCTGCCATCACCAAATTTCGCAACCTCTCAGCATTAGCTGCACTCCGAGCTGTTTTGGGCCTGCCACAACGCTACTCACTCTCCGCTGATGTGCGGTCCTCTTTGAATCGGATGAACCACTCCTTAATTTGTGGTACACCCATCGCTTCTTTTACAAACACCTGCTGAATCTTACGAATTGTTTGGCTATGAGAATCACCAAGCTTTTAACAGAATTTGATGCAATATCTTTGCTCAATTTGTTCAGTCATCTTACGAGAAAACTAAATCCGACGAACACTACGAACAGCACCTTACTTGGCGACCACCAGCCAGCGACTGGCACAACCGAAAGCGGTGAAAAAATTCAAGCATGTGCATTAAGATTCCTCCTTCCACTGTGCACGATGTTGCCGCTTTAGAATCATTACTTTGCGAGGGAAAAATTAAGGTCGGATACTTTTTAAACAGGCCTCGTATTAAATAGCTATATTTATAAGCTAGATAATGAAGTTTAAAAGTTCTATTTATGAGTTTAAAGAGTCAACGTTATATCATACTAAACTGTGGTTAGTAGCCAGTGGTGTTGCTTCTCTTTTTCACACCTGCTGGCGGAACTGTACCATGAAGGGGAAACTAGTTCGCAAATTGTCGAAAACCATGTTTTAGTTGGAATTCAGACACTTTTATTCATCGATCCAATGGTATTGTCCGAAACATTTTGAGTTAACAGCCTATTTTTTTTAAAGTTAATAAATAGGTCTGAACTACGCACTGCTGCTATCAATACATTCTTGGGCAGAAACTTCCTCAAAGGTACCGGGGAGAAATTGAAATATTGAATCTGCTGATTATGAACCATGCGTGGTTGGATGTAATCCTGATCCAGCTTATCGTTTTTGTGTCAGTAAGAGTGCAATATTGCAATCAGAGTTTTGTTTACTTTCCGACTAGGTAGAGATCTTAAATTTCTTTTCACGTCTGATGAAAATTAAAATTTCAATAATTAATCGTTGATGCATACAGCTGCTTTGAAGCTTTCATGAAATTTTATCAAATTAGTGAGAAAAGAAGTAATGCGTTATGTATAATGTTTTTTGTCTATTTCTATTTTATGTATAATGTATGTATAATGTATTTTGTCTAGTTACTAGACTTGACTTACCGCAGTAAAATTCGATTGGACAGCATGTGCCTTCATGATAAATAGGAATGCACCCACTCTGTAGTTGCTTGAGTTTTAATTCCAAAGCACATTCGTGCACTTTGCAGCTGTTTCCATGGATACCGGTCCACTGTTCGTTGCAAACACAGCTCAGGCAAGGATCTTCATTTGGGTAGATTCTTTCTCCATATTTGAAAATCTTTCCATCGTATTCACAAACTTTTTCTAAAGCAATTGAGAAAAGTAAATTTAATATTGATGTACCTCATTATAAGCTGTTGAAATGATCATAATTTAAACTCACCGGATTTTTGAGTGATTTCATCTTCTGCTACAAAAGGAAAGAAAATTAATATTAATTAATTTTAATATAGTAATGCAAAATTGTGAAAAAGTAAACACTGTTGGACAGTTAAATGTTTTTTAGTTAAAATTTAAAATTAGATTTATCTTATCAAATTTTTGCAACTCCACTTAATATAATTTTTCATAAGATTATAAGAATGTGGATATTTTAATAACATAATGGGGCGAAACTTAAAGCAAGAAAACTTCTTTTAAAGTCATAAAAAGTAATGATAATTTTTTATAGTTGACAAACCAATAAAATTGTCTGATCAGCCATTGACGTTGATGAAATCATCAGTTCAGAAACTTTGCTAATCGGCTCAAGTGATCTTATCAGGTCCCGCAGTGGACTGATCGTTAAGACACGGTTCCCAGCACATCACCGAAGTCAAGCATCGCTGGCTGCGGTCAGCGTGCGGGTGGGTGACCACTTGGATCAGTCTTCGTAGGGATCGAGGGTGGGCGGTATTGGTTCTCGTTAAATTGTTTTACCGTAAAGTGCTCGACTTCGCGTGCAAGTCGTCGGGCTACCGAAGTGGGGGTGCCATCCGCTCTGCAGAGGTTAAAAATTGTGATGGCATGTCTTCGGATCATCCTCAGGGATGCTTCCCAGACCGTCGCCTATAGCCCATTATGCAGCTCTAGTGCGACGTAAATGAACTGCAACAACAACAATCTTATCAGTGGTTGTCTTGTGGAGAATGTCCACAATATACTTCAATCAATGGCTAAACACAACAGTTGCGCAATAGTGTTCATCATCACTTTTTTTTTACTCGAAAAGAGTCACCTATTTCCTGTCTAAGAAAACCAATTTATTTTTAAAGTTAATCATTTTGAACCATGAAAATTAGAAGTTAGTATATGAAAGTCTATTAATAAATCAAAAGATAAAAAAGGGAAATATCTTTTTCTGCCTGTGCATAAATAGAAGTCATATGTGTTTCTAAGATATGCTTATGAATGCTCAGAAGAAATACTGATATATGTTTTGAGGAATTTTTATATTTCAAGTTATTTTTATGCGAAATAATATATGTTTATATCATTTACAAGTAAAAAAGGGTTGTCCCTTTAACAAAGACGGCAAAATTTACTTACTACATTGAGTTCTTACGGGGCAGCATTTCCCGGCATCATAGATTCGGTGGCAACTGTCGTTCAAAGGTGGGCTAAATAACTCCGGACATTCAATCGATACACAATGAATTTCCAGTCCATCAGTCGAGTAACTTCGCTGACAGGTGCATATTTCGCACGAATTTCCAATGTCAATTTCCTCGTCCTTTTTATAGGATCGTCCTTTGTAAAGACATACTATAAAAGAAATTATAATATTTATCACCTTTCAGATTCTACTTCCAATTTTTCTGCATTTAAATTTACAGATTTCGATATCAGAATAAAAGGAAAACTTCTTTTAGGTTAAAGATTAACGTATTTACTCAAGAATATTTTTCATTACTTGTAATTGAAGCCCCTTGATCGATCTGAAGGCTCTCAAGATCAGTGCACAACGAGGAATATTTTTGGTTTTCCAACTCATTGATCCAAGTCAGTAACTCCCAAGTAAATAAACCCTGCTTATTAGAAAAGGTTATTTTTCATTACCATAACTTGCAAACGAATCTATAGGGAAAGAAAGAAAAGTACTGATTTCAACTCACTGCTATATCAGGGTACCCAGTCGGTATTGTGAGCAGAGTTATAGTTTCGATCTAAAATACGGAGTTTATATTTTGTACAAAATCCTCAAATCGTGTCCTTCCTCAAATTGTGTTCAGAATGTAAAGTTCCCAGCGGTTGCAGAAGCCTGACATGGTCGAGAGGCACAGAATATAGAAGGGAGAAGAAGTCCAGCATACGTAACTAATGTGGAAACTGCTCGGTTCGGTATACTATACCAGAAAAACAATTTACAGTGTGAATAACATACTCAGATTTAGCAAAGCATCATCTATACTAAGATCCAACGCATGCGCATTAAGAAGTGGCAGACAAGAGATACGTCACCTGTGAACCAGTTGTTGGACACGTAAGGTTGGGTGAGCTGCCTTCACCCATTTTGTTCTTTCCTTCTATGTCAAAATGTGTTAACAGATTTGATGGTATAAATGTGCTCTCGAAGAAATATCCTAATTAATAGTACAGTACTGTTTGACAATGTGCCGACCGGCCTGCGTAGGGGTTAGGGAACTGCCCTTGCATCAGAAAGGTTCTGGGTTTGAATCCCAAGCAAGGCATGGATGTTCTTTCCTTCTCTGCACTATCTGTCTTTACTGTGGGAGTAACGTTGACCCATGTAATATGGTGCCCCTGAAAGAGAGGCCAACAAATCTGCCCTGTAAATGCCTGAATTGACGAAAAATGTTAACACAGGTGGGCATTGGAAAAAAAATTTTCTGTCAATGTAAAAATGCAGAACAAACCAAGTATAAATAAAAAGAGAAAACTTTTCTTCTCCTCCCCAATCCTTTCCCAACCTCAGCATTAGTTGAGAGGTGAGGTGGGTGCAAACCCGTTTCAGGAACCTCTGTGCTGGATCCCTAAATGTTGCTGTTTCCTTTATACTCATGGACCGCACCCAACTTTGGAGAACTGGTTTACATTATCCATCATCTACCCTCTGATATAAATAGTAGTAAAGAAACCATTATAATTTAGGATGAATCGTAGAATGTCACCAATAGCTCAATTGAGTAGCTCCGGTGTAACATTAAAAACTAAACTAAACCAAACTACAGCTTTAGGAAATTTATATACGAAAACTATGTTTTGAAAGTATATTATAAAAGTTTTAAGGAATTATATTTGTATTTACGAAAACTGTTTTCTTACTGTTGGAAAGGAATGAAGTTTAGTTTTTTTAATTGACACATATCTCTAAATTACTTATTTTTTGGTATGTCTAATCAATCATATGCATTATTATACTTACATGATCTTATTTACGAATTAATCATGAAAAATTGTTGTTGGTGCAAATTTTTCGAATAAAACGAATATTTCCAATAATAATAATAATAAATAAATAAAAATGAGAAGAAGAAATAAAATGAAAACAATATTCAAAATTCTTCCTGAAATTTTAAAATGTGTTTATGATTTTATTGCAACGCAGTTTTAGCAAAAAGAGTTCCAATGCAGTCTTTGATTTTTTTGTTTTGTTTCTTATTGTATTTCCACATCATAACAATATCGATGACATACTTTATGTTTTCAATAAAATTAAAAAATATCCAAATGATATTTCTGCAACATATTATAAATTATTAATGGTTGTGTCAAATGTATTTCTAAGATAGACTAGGTTCCAAATATGATGGGTAAAATTACAAAAGGAACTTAAATTTCAAATACGCGTGTAACAATAGCGAGAAATGTATTGCCTGTGAAATAACAATTTTATCATATTCAATTAAGCTCAGAGTTGAATCAATGGAAAATATGAAATCTTAAGGAAATTTGAGTAAACAATTTTAAAATCGCGTGGGTTAGAAAAATAGAAATTAATTTAGGTAAAAGAAAAATCAAAACTCATTATAATTGGATACAATTTTTTCCCAGATTTAAAAAAAAAAGAAATAAAGTTTTAAAACGAATTAAAAAGGTTTTTTTTAAAAAAAAGCTGTTAAAATACATTAAAAGTGCATTTTATCAATATATTATGCTTTATTATGTTTCTTTTAAACTGAACAGTAGACCGGGGAAAAAATATATCACCTAGAATAACTTCTGTTCTAATGATCATGTACTGATTCCTAAATGCTAATCTTTGAGGTTTGAAGAGTTAACTATACATATGCTAATAATTCTTATAGTAAAGGAAATAATATTTAAAAATGTGATTAACTTAAAATATATTCGGCTTTTTCCATTCAAGTTTTTCGTTTGTTCTAAACCCAAATGTTGCAAAATCTTGTATATTTTACAATTCAAAATAATTTTACTCTTTGTTAAATGAAATATTAAAGGTTAATAACTATTACAAATAATTTTGAATGGAATTTTTTTCAGATAAATAAGATTTAAAATAAAATGTACAAAAATTTTCGATTCGCTTTAAGACATCACGAAATAGCAAAAAATAGACTTAACTTTAAAAAACTCGAAACTTCAAATCACTCTACTGGCTCAAAAAACGGATGCTTCTAAGATCGCATCCAAAACATATTAAAAGTTATAAACTATTTAAACTACACTCTATAACAAAAAAATCGACGCACCAAGAATGAGTTGTCCGATTGAAACGAAAATTGGTGGATAGGAAAACAATGTACAGAATAGTAAATGATTAAAATTTCAGAACAATTGAATAATTTATTGTAGAGTTACAGTAACAAGTTCAATAAGGTGTTGACCCGCCTCTAGNCAGCTTTAGGAAATTTATATACGAAAACTATGTTTTGAAAGTATATTATAAAAGTTTTAAGGAATTATATTTGTATTTACGAAAACTGTTTTCTTACTGTTGGAAAGGAATGAAGTTTAGTTTTTTTAATTGACACATATCTCTAAATTACTTATTTTTTGGTATGTCTAATCAATCATATGCATTATTATACTTACATGATCTTATTTACCCATTAATCATGAAAAATTGTTGTTGGTGCAAATTTTTCGAATAAAACGAATATTTCCAATAATAATAATAATAAATAAATAAAAATGAGAAGAAGAAATAAAATGAAAACAATATTCAAAATTCTTCCTGAAATTTTAAAATGTGTTTATGATTTTATTGCAACGCAGTTTTAGCAAAAAGAGTTCCAATGCAGTCTTTGATTTTTTTGTTTTGTTTCTTATTGTATTTCCACATCATAACAATATCGATGACATATTTTATGTTTTCAATAAAATTAAAAAATATCCAAATGGTATTTCTGCAACATATTATAAATTATTAATAATAATATAATAATTATTAATAATTATTAATTATAATTATTAATAATAATATTACAAATTTATTTCTAAGGTAGACTAGGTTCCAAATATGATGGGTAAAATTACAAATGGAACTTAAATTTCAAAAACGAGTGTAACAATAGCGAGAAATGTATTACCTGTGAAATAACAATTATATCATATTCAATTAAGCTTAGAGTTGAATCAATGGAAAATATGAAATCTTAAGGAAATTTGAATAAACAATTTTAAAATCGCGTCGGTTAGAAAAATAGAAGTTAATTTGGGAAAAAGAAAAACTCGTTATAATTGGATACAATTTGTTCCCAGATTAAAAAATAAATAAAGTTTTAAAACGAATTAAAAAGGTTTTATTTTTTTTAAAAAAAAAAGCTGTTAAAATACATTAAAAGTGCATTTTATCAATATATTATGTTTCTTTTAAACTGAACAGAAGACCGAGAAAAAAATATGTCACCTAGAGTAACTTCTGTTCCAATGATCATGTACTGATTCCTAAATGCTAATCTTTGAGGTTTGCAGAGTTAACTATACATATGCTAATAATTCTTATAGTCAGGGAAATAATATTTAAAAATGCAATTAACTTAAAATATATTTCCATTTGCGTTTGTTCTATCCCCAAATGTTGCAAAAGCTTGTATATTTTACAATTCAAAATAATTTTATTCTTTGTTAAATAAAATATTAAAGGATAATAACTATTACAAATAATTTTGAATGGAATTTTCTTCAAACAAGATTTAAAATAATGTACAAAAATTTTCTATTCGCTTCAGGACATCACGAAATAGCAAAAAATAGACTTAACCACTCGAAACTTTAAACCACTCTACTGGCTCAAGAAACGGATGCTTCTAAGTCTGATGTCACCTAGATAACTAAATCCCAGACCTAGTCATCTGTCACCTAGATAGCATCCAAAAACTTATTAAAAGTTATAACCTATTTAAGCTATTTGCAGTCAACCACATTTAACCATTGAATTAGTTTTTTACTATTCAAAAATCCGATTAATAAAATAAGTATTCAAAGATACATATTTTTTTGCAGCTCATTGTGCATTAATATAAAAGCTTAATATGAATATTAACTATTCTTTCTTTCCTTCTGGAATCTGAATTTCCTTTCTGAAATCCTTTCTGAATTTCTTGGATCACATCTTGAGCTTTAAGGATCTTTTTTTTCTTTTTTTAAATCCAAGTTTAAACTCAGAAAGACCTTGCAAATAAAAAACATGCATTTTTATAAGCGATTCTAAGGAAACGAAATGATTAACTACGCTAATGATGACTAAATTCAGCTGAAGATTTTATCTTTATTAACTTACAATGATCATCATACTGAATAAAATACAAAAAAAGAATTAATTACCTGTGTTATTGACCTCTTGTTTTTTATCTGGACAATTGTAACGCACCGGACAGTCTGAACCACTGTCTGGTACTGGTGTACAGCCCTTTACTTCATAGTGTTTTAGAAAACGTTTCTCACACTTTAACTGCAATGACTTGGCTTCATCTGTAAAAATAAAATTATAACATTCATGGAATACTACGAAAAAATAATTGTTACAATCTAAATTTTTTTCATTCATAAAATTAATTCCTTTAAAAGGCTCATTGAAGTATGGCTCTAAATATAATCATCGAACTGGATTTTTGCCTAAATATAATTGAAATTTTTTTCCACGCATTTTAAAAAGTGATAATTCTGCCCCCATATATCGAAAGCATACTACCCATGATGTATACTACCTTTGTATACTATACTACGTTTGAGCTAGCCGGATCAAAAAGCGCTGATAAAAAGAAAGAATAAATAGAACCTCAGGTCATTATATTTTGAAAATGATCTGTCTTTTGCCCTATGGGAGTTCTGTTAAAATTGGTTTGCGCTACACCTCACCTATTTTTTGCGAATTCTACCCAACTTTTTTTCTTTCCTTTCTTTACGCAGACATTGGGAATATGGAGCAAACCGATATAGCTTTCTGAAATATTCTATAAAAAAGAAAATTCATTTCTAAAAAAATTGTCTTAAAAATACTTTTTTTTTTTATCGATGCCTAACAAGATACATGTTCTATACTATAAACAATTCACACAATCTATTTCAATATTTAGAATTTTTTTTTTTTTTATAGAGTAATAATTTTTGTAAGTCCCTAAAAATTACACTTTTGAAATTCAAATTTTTCTATTTTGTGAAATACTTGCAAAAAAAATATATAGGAGATCCTGGAGGAGCTCTGGAGATCCGATAAAACTTTATTAAGTTTCAAACAAAAATGCATTTTAAAAATGAAAATGGTATAAAATTGATAAATATTGATCAAATAGTGATGATATATGATTCGTGAAAATGGATGCTTAGGGGCGATAAGAGAGGAGGATACNAGGATTAGTTAAAAATAGTTCAGTAAAAAATGTTACAATTGACCCCACTCTCCCCTACTATAAAAAATACACACAATCTATTTCAATATTTAGAATTTTTTTTTTTTTTAGAGTATTAATTTTTGTAAGTCCCTAAAAATTTCATATTTGGGAATTTAAATTTTTCCATTTTGTGAAATTCTCGCAAAAAGAAATATAGGAATTCTGGAGATCCGGTAAAACTTTATTAAGCTTTAAATAAAAATGCATTTCAAAAATAAAAATGGCACAAAATTGATAAATATTGATCGAATAATGATGATATATGATTCGTGAAAATAGGTGTTTAGGGGCGATAAGAGAGGATTATACACTTTCTCAAAAATGTACTTTTTAGTTTTATCAACTATCAAAAATTTGGCTTATCCTTGAATTTTGACAAATATCTATCCATTATTGACTGAGCCATTACTAAATAGTTTGTGTATATCACGTGTCCTTTATTTATACCCCTTATTTAATAAATTGTTTAAGTTACCACTGAGACAATCGTAAAATAATAAATCTTAACACAATAAATCTGACGATAAAGTTATCGTGAATATGTTTTTTTATAAATTATAATTGCAATTACAATAGTGAAAAATGTATTGTAACTTTGATAACGTAATTATTTTAAGATGAGCACAAAGTAATATAATAATAAATTTTGGTTGCACCAAGTTTTATAGTTTCTGTAACCTAATTAGTATTGTTCCTCCTAATTATATTAATAGTCTGCAAAAGGGCCGGGATAGCCTGGTTGGTAGGGCACTGTGCCCGTGTCCAAGAGGTCGTGGGTTCGATCCCCATCGGCCGAAGACTCCCCGTGTAGTAAACGGTGACTGATGCAAGTTAAATCTGTCGAGTCAAAAAGTCCTCCATGCTCCCATATAACAAATCATACATCTGGGGATACTGATCCGAAACTACAAGGATACGGAGTTGAACATTAGTAGTCGTAAACCTAAAATTTGTTGAAATATTCAACGACGGTTATAAAATATAAAAATAAAACTATCTCCAAAAAGATCTATTATGGCTTGCGCTTGCTTCCAGATGAGGTAACCCGGGTACGAAGCGGCAACTGCAGGTAGATGCAATTTCCACACCGGCTCACTCCGACCACAGTGCTGACGTAGACGGATCATGGGTTAGAGTCTCCTTGCCATCGGGATAATAGTGGGCGAATTTCGTGGTTTTCGTCTCCATGTAATGCAAGTCTGGCTTATTTCCAGCAAAAAGTCTTCCATCAAGACAAATTTCACCCAATTCTTGATCCAGGAGGTTTTTTGTCTTCAGGATCGGGTTCCAAATTACAAGGCTACGGATTTGAACGTTGGTTGTCTCAAACTCAAAATTGGGTTGGCTGTCGAACGACTGTTATAAAATGAAATAAAATAGTCTGCAAATAAAAGTTCGTAATTTACAAATCAGAAAAATTCGATAAAGTACTTTTAGATTACTCGGAGAAAAATTAATCTGGTAAAATTATCGTACGGTATGTTAAGGACATTTCTTGTAAACAAAAAAAAAGCCTCAGTTTTGGTAAATAAAACCAAAATGTACGATATTTAATTTGGTAATTTTTTCCGTTCATATGGTAACGAATTCCAGTTTTCAAAATTAGAGTTCTTATTACTATCTTATTTAGTAAAATACATAAGACTAAAAAGTAATGTTACGAATAAATAGTTTTTATCCCATGCTCTGAGGTATCATGATAAAATTACAGAATCTTACCACATTTACCGATTATCATATATTATAAAACCATATTTTGCTAATTTAACCAAAATCTCTACCAAAGTGCTTCGGAAAAAATAGCTGAGCTTTTAGGCGTTCCTAGAAAGATAGAAACACAATTTATCGTATTTCTGTAAATATAAATAAATTAATACGTAAATACTATCGTGTTTCTTATTACCATTTTTTTTTGTATTCACATTTTTTAGGGATTTAAAGTTTTAATATATAAATATTTCTCAACAATTCAGTTCTCTAACGGAAAAGTGTTCTTGCGATAGATGTTTTTTTTTTCTTCTTGAAATTATTTTTCACAATCGACTGCTGTAATGATGACACTTTTGACGCTTTAAAATATTCAAATAAAAAGTGAAACCAAAATATTTTGCTCCCGATTCAATTTTTTTATTATTTTTCAATCGTTAATTGCATTTTTTCCCTATAGATTAAAACTTTTGCCTTATATATTAGATTTATTCACTCAAGATTTCGGGGAAAAAATTTTATAATTTACTTTTTGAATCCACGAAAATAGCATAAATAAAGTAATAAAATTATTTTTTGTAACATTGCAGCTTTCATAACAATTTTTTTAAATTTAATAAAGAACATATCATCCAAACTGCAAAAATTAAATATCATTTCAACTCACCGATTTTTTTTCCTGCAGAAACCGGCTATGTTATTCAAGAAAACTTATTTATTCTTAAAAAGAATTATGTGACAACTAATATCAAATTTTTTGACGGCAACTGTTTAACGATTTTCATTTGAATCATAGCCATAATATAAAAATTCAGTAAATAAACAAAGTAAAAATTTGTAGCCCATCTCAATCAATCCCAATGTATGAAAAAATCTATTTTACTGTGATTAGAGGAAAGAAAATATTATTATTTTTAATCAAATCACAGAGAATTTTTCCACATTTTTTTATCTATATAAATTAAAAATATATGATCTCATTAAAGCGATTCGTTCAAAAATGTCTACTGAATATAAAAATAACTCACTTTTTTCTATGGAAACGAAGATTACAAAAACAATAAACACCGGCAACTGCATTTTCTCGTCTTAAACCCACCTTGAAGACGCTACATTAATATAGTCATTCTACAAACCTACGTCATCTATCACGTTACTTTGAGAATCCAGTTTCTGACTGTCGAAGTGATATTTACGGACAGAATCTTCATAGGGGTGACTCTTGCGACACAACCATTCTACATTTCGAACAATCATGGTAACAATTGTTCTTTTTTTTGACATAAGCAAGAGAATTGGAACAAGTTTCTGTAATTATTCAAATAATGATGAATCGTTCGAAATAAAAGCCCTGAAGTTGTAGTTTTGAATATGATAAACATTTTACCTGTTCATTTTGACAAGGTCATCTGACCGTAGGATTACAACAGGACGTATAAAAATATCCATTTGAGTAATAAGTAAATATTGCTTGTCCTTATTGGTTTGGTAAACTAACCTTTTGTAATATAATATGATGAATGATCCATCCATCAACAATATTTCTGTTTCTTGGTCAATACATCAGCTGTTCAAAGCTTTCAATTTCAGTTAGCTTTCAGGCATGTTTGAAAAAACTTTCATAGCAACTTTTTCTTTCCATGCATTTTTGTCATGCAATATTCTTTTGTTTTCAAATGTTTGCTGGTTCACACATTTGTAATAAGCATGAGTAATTTTTCTATAAACTGATGTTTAAAATTAATTCTTTTGATGTCTTTTTAGTACGATTGGATGTATCAACTCTTTAAGACAGTTTTTAATAGAAACATTTTGAACATTGGTTTATGTAACATAAAACAAATAATTATTCAATAGATATAACACTAGTGTGTAACGATTGGAACCAGAAGATAGGAGTCATAGGTAACAGAATCAAGTTGAAAAAATTGGTTTGTAGGGGCCATATCTCACACTTTTGTAGGTGCAAATCTTAGTGACCCAAAAAAGGCAGTTTAGAAATTTCAGTAATATTTCAATCCTTCAGTCGTGCTTTTTTCAGGCTATAAGCAATTAAGGGAGTTTTGGAGATCTCGTAAACTTCCTTAACTTATAAATATGAAATAACAGTCTGTGGGTTTCTTTCTTTTTTGTCTATAAAAAGAGGACACATCTTTTATGAACCATTTATTTTTGTTTGATTCTGTGATCTACACTATTACAAAGACTGTTACTCATGATATGTGTGTATATTATAAATGTGTTTATTTTATTTTTTTATTATTTTTTTTTTTGCATTATTTACAACAAAAAAAATATTAATTTTTTTTTTAATCTGTCCAAGTTCTGAAGTAAATTAAGTAAATCTACGATGTTTATTTATCTTGAATGCTAATGTATGTGTGCAAATCTATGAATTGTATTGTTTCGGTAGACAATTAGAGATATTCTCAGACCAAATATTCATATGCATTTTCGGTATGGACTGTTTCAATAGAAATAACTTGCATTTATTTTACGAAAACCCAGCAAGAAACAACAAAAAATCCAAAGCAAAGTGAGAAAAAACCTACGACGGTCAGGCGAAAAGCAGTGGTATGCATGCTTGCCTATGCGAATCTTTGATGCAACACTGAGATGAATACAATCTGGAAATTATACAAACCGAACTACGCAATAAAGTTAAGTTTAAATGCAATTGCTCGATATACCCTGCACAGATATTTTTTTAGGTAAAGTGCCATCGCCCCCAATATACTGATCGCTGAGGTGAAAGCTTGCCTTTGTATACGTATATCGTACCGCATTCGTGTATATAGATATAGATATAGATATAGATATAGATATATATATATATTAGTGAACATAAATAATTTTAATTAGTAATAATTTTTTTAAAATAACATTTAAAATTATAGGTACAATGTTATGATACAATTGATAAGCACAACTCCATAATATTTTAGCTTACCAAGCAGGCCGATATATTAAATACAATTACAAAGTACATCACATTGTCCATGAAGCTGATGGTAAAATTCTAAATCAATTAAGGAATCTCTTTAACGCTAATTTATAACAGCATATAATTTGTAATTTACACCAAAAAGTAAAAATTGTGAAACGGTTAATAAGCTTAGATACCCATTCAAATCAAGCCATCTTTAAATGTAGCATTATGACTTAATATCATAGAATTACTTTATATTAAAGAAAAAGCTTTTTGCTTTTTTTAAACTCATAATTTAGAAAGCAATCAAAATTAAAAACGTAATAATGACAGAGTAAAATAAGAAAAATAAATATTATATAAGTAAATACCTTTCTTTAGGAGAGGATAAATTATATTACAGGAGAGCAATCCTGTATGACTTTTAATTTCTTCCAGATGACAACAAAAAAAATATNGACACAAGAACATATACTTTTTTCACTTTTTAAGGGCATTAGTTGAGATTTTTTAGGTCATCAAAATCCGGGCTCTAATTATAACTTAATATCATAGAATTACTTTATAATAAAGAAAAAGCTTTTTGCTTTTTTTAAACTCATAATTTAGAAAGCAATCAAAATTAAAAACTTAATAATGACAGAGTAAAATAAGAAAAATAAATATTATAACTAAATACCTTTCTTTAGGAGGGGATAAATTATATTACAGGAGAGCAATCCTGTATGATTTTTAATTTTTTCCAGATGACAACAAAAAAAAAATATGGATAATACGGAAAAACTGGATAAGAGAGAAGAAACAACAAAAGGTATGATGCTAACGGAAAACTAAAACGAAAATTGAAGTGAGAATGTTTAGGAAAATATACGTAAGAAAGAGAAAATAATTTAATTGCCGCACGTTGTTGGAACCTTGTAATATAATTACTTTCTTTCCGCACCCTTCACATGAATGAATCTAAATGATCTTAATGTTCACGATCTCTAGAAGTTAATGGAAGTTTTTCCAGAATGATTATAAAGAAAAGGATGTATTATTTTAAAGTATATTTTTTCGCTTCAATTGCTTTTGGATTGTACATCTCAGTAAATTATAATGCAATAAATTAGTCTTAAAGGTATTTAAATGAAATCCTTACCACAATTCCAATCAACAGGGCAGCAATCAATGTCATTATAAATAGGCATGCATCCTCTTTCTAAAGGTCCGATGTTTTTACATTCAATAACATCACAAACGACATTATTAGGTTCATAAAAATCTTTTGAACAGTTGCATGTCAAACACATACGTCTTGTGGCTATTATTTCCTCCCCTTCCGAATATTTCTTTTCATTGTATTCACATTGGTGACCTCCTGAAATATTTAAATTTCTGTTTAGAATTAAGTAAAATAAGTAATGTGTAATCATTAAAATAACATCTTACTTGACCAGAATCCAAACAGGATTAACAAGTTAAATTAAAACGTATTCAATTAAACCAGTCTTAGGTAAATTTACAATTTATTCAAATAACGTAAATTTTCGACAAATTAACGAAATATTTTTATTTTTTGAACAACTTTTGATGGTTCAAATTGTTTTCTACTCTAAGAAAAAGAGCTTGATAACAGCTACCAGAATCTATATATATATTTTTCTTACACGGCGACAAAAAAGAGCCTCATTACAACTCCCCGAATGGCAACGCTAGAAAATCGACCAATGGTTGCCGCTAAAAATGTCGCATGCCAAATCTAGATGATGTGGCTCAACNCCAGAATCTTTATATATATATATATTTCTTACACGGCGACAAAAAAGAGCCTCATTACAACTCCCCGAATATCAACGCTAGAAAATCGACCAATGATTACCGCTAAAAATGTCGCATGCCAAATCTAGCTGATGTGGCTCAACATATAGCGCTTTTAAAAACGGAAACTGAAATAACCAGAGAGCATCAGCTGCGGCAATCTCATACTATTAAGCTTGACAGAAGTGAGTACTCTTTGTCGATAGATCTCTACTTTAGTATTTTGTCGAAAGCGTTTTTTTTTCACGAATTAATATATTACTAATTTATTTGACGCTTTTTGATTTATATCACGAATTTATTTGTTTTATTATTGTTATTAGTTATTCATTGAAAAATGAGTCTCAGTCGTGCTGTTACGCTTTAAGATTTTATACTATAGCACATTTCTAATAGGTTTAATGAATTACATGTCATTTATTTGAATTCAAATATATTTTAATGACTTCGTATTTACTAGAAAAATGTATTTTTTTTTCAAGTTTTTATATGGATTTAAATGATTGTTTTGAATTCGTAGAATTTCGCGCATTTGCAATGTACCGAAGCTAGTAGCGAGCGAAGCGAGCTTGGTTTGCAAAGCAAACCATATAAGATTGTGTAGCAATTTTCGGGGGTTGGTGAGCGTTAGCGAGCAGGGGACGCAGCCCACTAGTAGAAGTAAATTTACAGTGTTTCTGTAGTATTTTCCGAAGATTTTCATAAAATTAACAATTAAATATAGAATTAGGTAATTCTAACATGATACCTTAGAGCTTGCGATAAAAACCATTAATGCGGTTAAATTTACTGTTCAGATTTGTAATTTTTACTAAACATATGTAATAAGAATTATAAATTTGAAAACCGGAATTTCTGGTCAACAATTATCACGTGATTAGATAGCCACTGTTTCATATTCTGATCCATGCTTAGTGATTAACAATTAAAGAGAAAAACGAAATTTAAATTATATATTTATTCAGAAAAGCATGTTGTTCTTAGGTTTTAGATGAATTCAACACTTTTCCATTTTAGCAGTTGAACTGGCATTCGCGTTAGAGTTAAATCTAGAAAGTTGAATAAAGTTCTTAATTCTCCTTTTCCGAATGTATTACAGTTTCATAGTTTTTATTTATTTCTGATTGTATCACTTTGAGTTATTTTTCTAGTAATAAACAAACAATTAGTTTTATCATAAGTGCATTCTGTTAAATATGTTTGAAGGTATATTTGTGAGGAATTAATCTTAGACTATGTCAACCTTCATCTATCAAAAGGTACCTCGTGATATATTCAAGTTAACATGTCTTATATATTATTGATTTGGTATTTAATATTTATAGTGGTAGTTACGCCACATTACTCCCCTTCCAAAATTTTATCTGGGATAGAATTCGATGAACAATTACCACTAGNTACAGAGCGTGTTCGACTCCTAATAATTACATTCACTGAGATTTAGGAATTTATTTTTAGAAATTATAATATTGTAAAATATTTAAGATTCTAAGCTGTCACTTTGAACGAATGCTGTCTTTGAAGGAATGCTGTCGGCTCACCCAACTTCATCTCGATGTGTCATGATATTGTGGAGCCTTAATCCCCTTCACCTTCCACGGGGTTTGTGGGAAATAATTTACTTTTTATTCAAAGAGTGTAAAAAAAAATTTAAAAAAAAACATTTTGAAATCAACGGAAATTCATTTGCACCCTAAAGTTTGTTTACAACATCTTTACTTAGGAATGACTAAGAGTGTAGCAATAATAAGTAGTATCTAGGTATAATAAAACAGCTACAAGAAGAGAATGCTCATATTGCCACCTGGTGAAAAAACTGCAGACTTATCGTCGTATAGCAAAAACGGTACAAGTAATTGGAAAAAGAGAATTGCAAAGTTGCAGAGCGTAAACGATTTAGTTAATGCTAAAAAGGAATGCTTAAGACATGCGTCACATTTTCTGGTACTAAGACGAAACGAAATGAACTAAGGAAAAAATAAAGAAGCAAAAAACACAAAATAATTTTACTGGGTTCGAAACCCACTTCTGGCAATTGTAGTTTGCGAGTCATTACTGATTGTTTGAAATGAAAATATTATTACACCGGTGGCGGCCCCACTAACTTTAGACTTACCATCTTGTGTATCATCTTGTCTGTGTAGTATCAGTTTGAGTGAGAAATAAAGGTGGTTAGTATACAATGCTGTTTCATTATGCTATCACACTATCATTATGCTGTTGCCACAAAATTTGCTTTAACCTCCATAAACTCCCTAGCCCACAATGGTTTGTAGCGAGAATAACTTACTCCTTTACTACCTTTACTACTTACTACCTTTGTTATCGATATATAAAGTATAATAGAAAATCGAATGAAATAGTATCTTGTGATAACTAGTTGCGATTCCTTTCCTTCCTTACATCATTACGTCACGGGGTAACTTAGAGTATTTTGAACAAATAAATACACGTTTTAAATATTCTTTTCTCAACATTAATATAAACTGGGCGTCTAATCGTACTAAATCGTTTATTGCCTACAACTTTGTAGTCCCCCATTTTTCTTATAACTCTTACCGTTCTAGAGATGTTATAAGTTCACTGTTTCCTATCAGATAGCACTTTAAAATATCTTGTTGCGCGCATCCACTTTACTACAACTAGACACTACTTTCATTATTATGGCTGAAGTTGTTCGGAAATTAAAGAATGCATGCGTACTTAATGCAATCTGAATATTTTCATGACTGATTATTTGTGAAACAAGCTTTCAGACCTAATTATGATATGGACACTTAATTTGCACACATTCTTACATTAATTGTTTAAAAATTTATTAAATTATTGTTTCCATTTACCTTTTTCAATTCATGCTTGCGTATGTTCCTAGGAGATGGACTAAATCTATTCTTATTGTATCCAATTAGTTTAATTTGTTTAAAATTATTTTGGCTATTGAATTATTATCACACTATCTGGCTTTCTCATTAAACCTTTCGTGCATATTGAAATACAATTAATGAACAATCATTTGTTTTGAACAAGTTTTAGACATCTGACAGAATTCTGTCTTAACAATCTTTATAACTGTTACGAAATATGAAGTTCAACATTTATTCATACTCTATTTTATTCTTACGGGAATGTACATCAAACACTAACACAAAAAAAAATTGTATGAGAAAAATCTTACTTAATACTAGAACGTAAAACGTGAATTATTCAATAGAATGAAAGAAATGCAAATATAAATATTTCTGAAGGTTCAAAATCAAACTCACCTTTTGAAGCTTCTTTAATAGACTCTGAAAAAAAGGATAGGAATATATTAGTCATTGTAAAAGTCTATATAACATCAATATTTCAGAACTCGACAAATATTTCATATATTTTGCATTTTATAAACTTTTCTGTTGTGCGATTTTAAAATTTCGTCTTGAGGCATTTGCTGCATATTTTAATTTATCGCTTTTTTGTTAAAATACATAAATCTCCATATATCGATACTTTTCTACCAGATTTATTTTTTCTCTTTGATACTTTATATTAACATTTTTAAATAATTAATTTTTCTGAAAATACATATTAAGAAAACATCAATTCCTTTGAACTATTAATTTAAATGAAAACTCAAAACTGCGTTTATTTTCAATTAGAATAAATTCTTAAAATGTAGTACATCGAAGAGGAAATATAGTGGGTATTCCGCAAAGATCGCCCTTAATGTACATTTTTAAAATGCTTATAAAACATGAAAAATAAAAATAGTATACATAATGAGGTCACAAATTAACATTTAAGAGACGTAAAACGTTATAGAAATTACGATAGGGGAAGAAAGGTTTACTAATAATCAAAACCTAAAGGTGTTCCCACATCTTTCTACTTTTCTTTCCACTATCTCACATGTCCTGTTGTTGATTACATCCATCCTCTTGAAGTGTGATTTGCTGTCAATTTTATTTGTTCCTCACTTAAATGTTAGTTTGGCTAATTATTTTTTTTGTATTCATTTCGAACAATGATTCTAAAAATATTAAGAGTGGTTTTTACAAAAAAGCCTTTTTTTTCTGCTACCAAAAACTAATTATCAATTATACAGCACAATAGCATTAATCGAAATTTAATTTTTCATTTAAAGAGAAATATCACTTAACTAAAAAAGATTTAGCAGCAGAAAAACTAGCTGAAAATTACACTGAAATAAATATCTAATTATTTTTAATAAAAATAAAAATAAAATGTTGTCAACACTGGATAAATTACATCTTATACATTTTAATGTTAAATTTTGAAAATATACAATGCTTGAATTGCAATTGTTATCGTAAACAACGTTGATTAAATAATAAATGAAGACCCATGTTCTGGACAACTGCGTAATTCTCTTTGTTCGCTTATTGGATTTGATTAAAATTTGCGTGCATCTGTTTTAGATATACAACATCCTTTGATTTATAAATATTTTGTTTAATTTATGGTTAGAAAATTACAGATTTCAGTGTTTAGGCTTACAGCATATTCCTACATAAATTTCTTTAATTTAATATCAACTCGCAAAAGGAATAAAATTCTAAGTAAAATGTTAAAAAATCTGAAATATTGCTATAAATTATTTTTGTATAAAATGATAAGTAGAATTAAAACAAAAATATCGAACAATTTGTTTGTTGAAATGAACTAACTATTCGCTCTTAACCTCTCTTGACTGCGAGAGAAGAGAATTTTCTTTTAGAAATTTGTAAGCATGTACGCTAACGCGTTCAAGCTTATGATTTCTCACTTTCATGTCTCTCTTCTTTGTTGTCAAGGCAAAAGAAGTTATAATTTTGTTTCAGGATTTAAAAGACGCGAAAACAAGAAATCCATTATGTTTCTAATTAACATTTCTGTGTTGTGTACTTTGTTGGAATCCTTAGTGTTTATCCAAGGCTCGATACGATATTAATTCTTATTTCGTCCAGAAATGATATCACCCTTTTGACCTCTCTTTTTGTCACGCTACATTAGCTAAACACATGATAGCCCTTCTAAAGCAAAGCAAAACGTTAGCAATCATTATTCAAATTTTATTTTACTATGTGTTTGAATGAGATTGGTGATCATAACAACAATCATGTGTACTTATTTTGATGAAAAAATTTGAAAATAAATAACAGAAAGATATAAAATCTGCTTACTTTGAATGTTTTAATTTTTATCAAACTGTGTTATGTCACAGTTCTTGGAACTCCCTCCATTGCCACAATTTTGCGAAAACCCTCCCTCCCTTCCAAGTATGTCATCATACAGAAAATTAGTGCAAGGAAAAAACCTCGACGAATTTTTACTTTTTCTCAGAACAGAATTATGCTTCCCAAACTTTATTCATTATACTACCGATGCAAATAAAAAATTTGTGTGTGAATATTATATTTTACGAACACTCTTAAAATTTTTATACTAATATTCTAATTCTGTTACAAAATTCCACAATTCTCTTAGCATGCCCAAAAACAATTTAAAACAAAGTAATGCATGATTTCTTAAAGATAGTTCAGGGTATAAAATATTGCGAACTGTCATTACCTGGAATTCTATCCACTGTGGACTTAAGTAGAGCTTTTAGAAAATCCCATTCCAAGCTTGGAATTGAAGAAAAAGCAAATTTATTATAATTAGGACCCTATAAATTATGCAAAGATGTGCAAAATAGCATAATTTAAAATCATTCACATAGTCACCGAAAGTCAGCATTATTACTTTTTAAAAAATGTTAATAGTTATCATAAAAAATTGCCTTCAGTTTTTTTTTCTCTGCGGCATCTCCCTTTTTAGTTTTAAGTATCTTTAAGCAACTGATCGCTCTCTCCTAACCAAGGCTTCTGGAATTCACAGATGGTCTGAAAGACGACAAAAACAAAGTAAATGCTCTCAGTACTTTAAAAGACGAGAAAAAAACTGTATTGAGTCTCTACCAAATTACGAAACAAAGATAAAGTTTGATAGAGGCAGAGATGCCAAATGCTCCGGACGCACCAAGATAATTAAAAAAACGGTAAATAACAACAAAGTAAATTTTGTAAATATTTAACTATTTTTGCTTGCTTATTAAAAGGTATAGCATCACATTAAAACAATAAAGTGTTGAATTATATAAGTCTACGAATTATTTAGAAATAGCGGTGGATAAAAATCTACTCAATTGAATTTATTAAACCAAGAATCACAATTGATAAACTACCACTTTGAAATATTTATTTGCTGTCCGGAGCAAGNTATTTTTATTTTTGTTTCCCTCGTTTTCTTTACTGAAATAAATATCTAATTATTTTTATTAAAAATTCAAATAAAATGTTGTCAACAATGGACAAATTACATTGTATAAATTTTAAAGTTATATTTTGAAAAGATACAATGCTTGAATCGCAATTGTCATCGGAAATAACGTTGATTAAATAATAAATGAAAACTCATGCTCCAGACAACTGCGTAATTCGCTTTGTTCGATTAAGATTTGCGTGATTAAGATTTGCGCGCATCTGTTTTAGATATACAACATCATTGATTTATAAATATTTTGTCTAATTTATGGTTAGAAAATTACAGATTTCAGTGCTTAGGCGTACAACATATTCCTGCATAAATTTCTTTAATTTAATATCAACTCGCAAAATGAATAAAATTCTAAGGAAAATGTTAAAAAATCTGAAATATTGCTATAAATTATTTTTCTATAAAATGATAAGTAGAATTAAAACAAAAATATCGAACAATTTGTTTGTTGAAATGAACTAACTATTCGCTCTTAACCTCTTCTGTCTACGAGAGAAGAGAATTTTCTTTTAGAAATTTCTCACTTTGATGTCGCTCTTCTTTGTTGTCAAGGCAAAAAAAGTTATAATTTTGCTTCAAAGTTTAAAAGAAGCGAAAACAAGAAATCCATTATGTTTTCAACTAACATTTCTGTGTTGTGTGAACATTTTAGTATTTTGTTGGAATCCTTAGTGTTTATCCAAAGCTCAATACGATATTAATTCTTATTTCGTCCAGAAATGATATCACCCTTTTGACCTCTCCTTTTGTCACGCTACATTAGCTAAACACATGATAGCCCTTCTAAAGCAAAGCAAAACGTTAGAAATCCTTATTCAAATTTTATTTAATTATGTGTTTGAATGAGACTGGTGATCATAACAACAATCATGTGTAGGGGAGAGTGGGGTCAATTGACCTCACTCACCTTGACCTCATTATACTACCGACGCAATTAAAAATTTTGTGTGAATCTTATATTTTACGAACACTCATAAAATTTTGGTATTAATATTCTGATTCTGTTACAAAATTTCATACATTCTCTAAGCATGCCCACCAACAATTTAAAACAATGTAACGCATGATTTCTTAAAGATAGTTCAGGGTTTAAAATACTGCGAACTGTCATTACCTGGGATTCCATCCCCGGTGGAGTTAAGTAGTGGTTTTATAAAATCCCATTCCAAGTTTGGAATTGAAGGACCCTATAAATTATGCAAAGATTTGCAAAATAGCATAATTTAAAATCATTCACATAGTCACCGAAAGTCTACATTACTATTTTTTACAAAACGTTATTAGTTTATCATAAAAAATTGCCTTCAGTTTTTTTTTCCCATGAGGCATCACCCTTTTTAGTTTTAAGTATCTTTTAGCAATTGATCCCTGTCTCCTAACCTAGACTTCTGGAATTCATAGGGGGTCTGAAAGACGACAAAAAACAAAATATTAAATGCTCCCGGTACTTTAAAAGCCGTGAAAAAACTGTATTGAGTCTCTACCAAATTACGAAACAAAGATAAAGTTTGACAGAGAGTTCAGTTTTAGGTTTAACTTCTAAATGATATTGAATATGAATAGATAACGAAGTTAAAATCTTTACTGTGATGAGTATAAAACTGTGGCTAAAACCAAAATAAAAATGAAAAGTACACCTTTTTTTTTTCCAAATTAATTTTTTCCCCTTAAGTTATGCTCTTTGCAATTCGCAACATGCCCGAATAAATTTTTGAAAAATTTCGCATGTCTTCAGAAATATTTCAGCATAATTTGCATTCCCTTGTTCTAATGATTTGGCTAGCATTATATCATATCAGAAAGAAAGGGAAAAAAAAACTTGTAAAATATTTATAACACCTATAAAGATCATTATCCACGCATTATAAAAAGTCAAATTTTTTTCAAAACATAGGCGACCTCGTAATGTAATTTTCCCCATAAAAGAGACACCAGCGTAATAATAAATACATTTGTTCTTTTGTTTCGGAAGATCTCCCCTGTCGTGATA